GTAGTGAAGTCATTTACCCAAGGTAGTAAATCGCAGGTGGTAAATATCAGACTGAGGATTTGAACCCAGGTCCTAGGACTCCAAATCAAGTACACTTTCAGTTACCCCACCTTGCATTCCTGTTGGAATGACATTACCCTTAGGAGGAGTCATCTTTATGAAGCTTCACTTTATAGTCCAAAGGCAATCTTTTGGTATAATCCAAGGGTAATCTAGGGTAATCTGCTTCAAGTTGGTGCTTTCCAAGATGAAAAGAGATGTAGAGCTATTCAGTGAGGCAGTGGGCTCTCAGTCACTCACAATCACAATGGCAAGTATTCAAAAAGAGACTGGATGAGGTTGTTGGAAATCCTGTAAGGAGAATTATTGAGTGAAAAATTAGACTAAATAATCTGGTACCAAGAAGCATTTTGTATAATGGAAGAGAGTACTGTACTGGGGGTGGGGTGCGGTGGGAGGAGGAGCAGAGAACCTGGTTTATATCCCATCTCTGTCCTTTCATTATTTGGAAAAGTTGTTTTCCTCTCTGGATCTCAGTTTCCTTATCTGTAAAATGAATGTCTGACAAAATGAGCCAAATAGTAGGGTTTTTTTTGTTTTTTGTTTTTTGCTTAAATAGTTCTTTCTTAGTAAACTTAATAATGGTTAGCATTTATAAAACACTTTAAGGTTTGCAAAGCACTTTATAAGTATTAACTCATTTTAACCTCACAGCAACTTTGGGAGATATGGGTGGTGCTATTCTTATCCCCATTTTACAGATGAGGAAGCGAAGTGGGCAAGGGTTAAGTTGCTTTCCCAGGTTCACACAGCCAGTAAGCATCTGAGGCTGGAGTTGAATTCTGGTCTTCCTGACGGGAGGCCAAAAGTTCTATCCACTATAATACCTAGCTGCCTAGCAAATCTATGATCCTAAACTTTCCAAGTTCCTTTGAATTAAAAAAATCTATGATTTTCCATGTTATTCTTCCATGAGGTGGGTGTGATGGTCTCTCTAGGGTCTTTCTGTACTGAGGTTTGCTGATTCTAATTGTTCCTTTAAAAAAATCATACACCATCTGTTACTTACTATTCACCTAACTGAATGCACACATTCCTGACTTACCTAAGAGCTAAGATGATCCCGAGAATCTGGAAAGAGTAGCACCAGAAAGGAACTTTGAAAGGCCCCTTCCTTTTCGAAATGAGAAGACTAAAACCCAGATTGGGGGCTGACTTGCTCAGGGCCACACATTGAGTTTGTGGCAGGATCCTTGGCCTTCCAAGTCACAGTGCATTGCTCTTTCCACTATTAATGATAATAATAACTCATATTTATATAGTGTGCTAAGATTTACAAAGCAATCTCCTTACTACAACTCTGTGAGGTTATTAGGTATTATTATTTCCATCTCAGGCTGCTTCTTTGGAGCTTTATTTGGAAAGTGAATACAGGCTGTGGCTTGGATCCCTCTGATGTCCTCAAAGCAGTGGCATTCGAGTGGCTGGTTGTCCAGGACACTGGTGACAGGTTGGGTGGGCGTCACTGCAGGACACAGGGATCTGCATCCAGGTATGCCTTGGTGCCAAAGAGCACAGGATGCTGCCTCCTCCTCCATCTTCTCCACCAGCCAACACCTCATCCCTTAGGTCACTGCTTTCTGCTTTCTTCCAGACAGAATGTCTCATTCAGGCCAGAGGGATGAAGGGAACTTATTGACTTGGGCCAAATTATGAAGAGGCATGTTTTTTTCACGGAGCTCTATTTTGGGGGTGTTTGGAAAATTGAAGCTGGCAAGAAGGGACTCCAGCTGTGGCAGGTCCTGCTTCTTGTCACCACCTCCTGCATACACAAAGAGAAGTGAGCATTTGCCTTGAGACTCATGAGACAAGACATGGATGAGGGTGGGGGGAGAAGGGAGGCCCCAGATGGTTGTATTGAGGAAAGAGATAGCCTCAAGGGTTAGCCAAGGACTTTGAGTCCAAAATCCTTAACTTGGACTTCAAGAGTCTCTTCTATCTGCTCTCTCCAATTTGATCTCCTACTATTTCTTCACAGGAACTCTCAATTCTAACCAAATTAGTTTCTTCAGTGTCCCCCAAACTCAAAGCTTTTGCCTAGACCATTCCCCTGTTGGAACGCCCTGCCTTTCTTCTTTCTCCTTTTCCAAATCCTGTCCTTTTATCAGTGCCCAAATCAAGTCCTGACCCCTCTGTGAAGCCCCTCCTGACCTCTTCAAGCCACAGTTCTCTCTTCTTCTTTGAAACCCTTATGGCACCACTAATAACAGTCATTTGGGTTCTGAATCCTGTTCTACTTTGTGTTGTGTCCTAACTGTTCCCTCTGTGCTGATCTTCTCTCCCCAGCTAGCCTTCAGGCTCTTCAAGGGCAGTGTCTCACACCATCATACCTCACCCATTGAAACTCAGTTGTCTGGCATTCTATTCCATCTGGAATACAACCAAGAATCAGGAAGATTCAGGCTATCAGAAAATAAGATTCAGGAAGGAAGCAGAAAAGGCCTTTGAACAGCCCAAATATATGGTACAACTTCCATGCTTTAGAGTTCACGTACTTTGCTCCCAGTGGGGTCTAATACTTATTGTTTGCTGAAGATGCTTCCATTGACCTGCTGTTCATGTGACCAGATCCAGAGGCTGGTGGCATGTTATCTTCATGACACTATTCTGTGGAATCTGGAGCTGTTAGCCATAGCTAGCAAAGTTCACTGAGAACAGGAGAGATAGAAGAGATCAAAGACAAAGTCAAGGGTCAAAAATATCCCAATAGGCCACCATGATGGTTTGAATCTAATGAGATGAAATTTAATAGAGATAATGCTTGGGTTCAAACAGTCAACCACACAAGTACAGATAGGAAAGGTGTGGCTAGTGCCTATGTAAAAAGTCTGGGGTCTTTAGTGATTTGCATCTTATTATGATCCAAAAGTGTAACATGACAGCAACCCCCACCTCAAAATCCATGATACTATTTTAGGCTATTTTAAGATGCATAGCATCCTGGGTGAGGGAGGTAATTGTCATGGTGTGGCCTGGTGTGGTCACACCACATTTAGAATATTTTGTACATTTCTGGGCTCCACATTTTAGGAAGGACATTGGGAAGCTGGAGACCCTGCTATATGAAGATCACTTACAAGAATTTATAGCATGAGCTCTTTTTGTAGTGGCAAAGAGTTGGAAATTGAGGGGATGCCCATCAACTGGGGAATGGCTGAACAAGTTTGTGGTACATGAATGTAATGGAATATTATTGTGCTATAAGAAATAGTGAGCAGGTAGATTTCAGAAAAACCTGGAAAGACTTACATGAACTGATGCTGAGTAAGTTGAGCAGAACCAGGAGAACATTTTACACAGTAACAGCAACATTGTATGATGAACAACATTGATAGACTTAGCTGTTCTCAGCAATACAGTAATCTAAGACAATTCCAAAAGACTCATGATGGCAAAGGCTATCCACATTCAGAGGGAGAACTGTGGAGTCTAAATGAAGAAGCATACTGTTTTCTCTTTTTTTTTGTTTTTTTTTCTTTCTTCTGGTTTTCCCCTTTTGTTCTGATTCTTCTTTCACAACATGACTATTGTGGAAATATGTTTAATGTGATTGTATGTGTATAGCCTATATCAGATTGCTTTTTGTCTTGGGGAGGGGAGAGGGAAGGGAGGGAGAAAAAATTTAGAACTTAAAATCTTATAAAAGTGAATGTTGAAGATGATCTTTACATGTAATTGGAAAAAAAATGAAATACTATTAAGTGGGGAAAAAGAATTATAGCATGTTTAACCTTGAGAAGAAAGTGATCATTGGATTATACATTTAGCACTGGGAGGGACCCAACCTTCTTATTTTCAGGTGAGAAAACTGAGGCACAGAGAGATTAAATGACTCAGCCAGAGTTACATGGTAATTAAGCATCTGGAACAGATTTGAACTCAGGTCTTCCCAATTCCAAGTTCATTACTCTACCCACTGCACCTCCTTGTTGCTTAGGAGGAACATGGTTTGAGGCTTCAAGTATCTGAAGACTACTAGAAAAGGAACTAGATCGGTTCTGTTTGACCTCAGAGGGCAGAATGAGGAGAAATAGATGGGGGCTGAAGAGACAGAATTTGGTTCCCTGCAGAGAAAAGTTTCCTAATCATTAAGCTCTGCCGAAGTGGAGTAGCCCTCCTTGGGAGACAGTGAGTTCTGGATGACTGCTTTGAGGAATGTCAGACTCCTTTTCAGCTAGGGCTTGCACTGGCTTACCACTCAGGGTCCTCCCAATGTTGAGATTCTGTGATAAGACTCGGCACCAAATAAAGAGCGTGGACACTTGTGTCCAAATCAGGTCCTGTTGTTGACTGGGACCTCATGTAAATCCATACAATCCTCTTGGCTGTAGTTTTGTAAAGTTGGGAGACTCTCTTTCAAGAAGATGGAAGAGATGAGCAATGGGCTGTGTCCTTTGGGGAGCAGAGGGGCCAGGAGCTCTAAAACCTTTGTGGCATCTTTAAAGCTTCAAAGTACTTGACGACCACAAACTAATTTACATTCTCAAGAATGTGCTCGAGGGGAAGATCTTTGGCTATACTGGTGTCTTGCTTTATTTCTGGCAAAGTCGTGGCAATCTAGCATAGTGGATAGAAAACTGAGTTGGGAAGACCTGGGCTCAATCTGTCTTTCATGACTACTGTGTGACCCTGGGCAAGTCCCATAACCTCTCAGTACCTCAAGACAGCCAGTTGCAGAGAAGGTGTCTATCTGAACCGGTACAGAGGATTTCCTATGACCATTGGATGCCCATGTCCAATTTTAAAAAAAAGTTGGCGATAAAACCATGGGAATAGAAGGGTTAATGTCAGCCACAAGGCTGACAAATACCCCTCTGAATCAGGAGCAATGGCTTCTAGCCCATGTGAATAGTTGGGTTGTTGTAGCTATCTTGCTCCCCCCAAATTGGAGTCCCTTCAAAGCATTCTCTAACTTGGCCCTGGGTATTTCTTCTTTACAGGGACTGAAAGGCTATCCTGGACCACCTGGACATCCTGGAGACCAGGTAAGTGAGTGTCCTGGACCTATGGCCAGCCACAAGGCCTCGATGAGGAGTTCTGGTCCAAACTAGCTGGCCACAACCTTCCTGGTTTTCTCTGTAGCAGCAGCCTGACTCCTTAGGATCTCCCTTCCTGTCCATGTCTCCTGATTTATGCTTTTACTGACAGTCATAGGCACAATGCACGCCCCCTCCCCCCAGCCTATCCTTCATGGATGGGCCGCCAGTGAATCTCCCCCATCCTTCCAGCTCCCTACCTGCCCCCTCCTCTAGCCCCTGGGCACTGAGCCCCACATCCTCTGGGCCAGCAGGGAAATAAGGAAGCTCTTGCCTTCTCACTCGTCCCTTCTTTGCACTAAATTTGCCACTGGGTTTCCCCCCCTTCCTCACTAACCACATCTTACTGAAAGAGGCAGTAATTCCCTCACGGAGTGTTTGGATAAGCCTGATGTTTGCAGTAAAATCCATGAATAGCTGAGCTGTTCTGTTCGATGTTAAAGGATATTATACATGCATCCATCTAGGTTGCCAGAATCTTGGCAGCATTGACCCAAGGAAAACAGTTCCATATGCCAGAGAGGGACTGACACCTTTACTTTGCTCCCTGTTTTCAGGGCCGGGGGGCTTTGTATGAAGAGCTGGTTGAGCCGGTTTTCCTGGGACCTGACTGGGGGGGAGGGGTTGAGAAGATTGTAGAGGAGGGCTTCCCCTTCCTCTTTTTTCATCTCACTTTCCTTCCTCTGCCTTTATCCCTTTGCCATCCCTTTGTCCATTGTAACTCAGATGCTACCCTTCCCCCAACTCTTTCTGTGCCCTGGGCTTAGCTTGAGTGGTCCCTTCTCTCCTGTCCCCACCTCTAGAAGAACTCACTCTCCTCTCCTTTCCTTTACAGGGGGAGCCAGGACCAGAAGGGAGTCCGGGAGCCAAAGGCTATCCTGGCAGGCAGGTGCAGTAAATGGCTTCTCCAAGGCTCTCAAGGATCTGTGTTTCTGCCAGAGGGGAGGGTAGGGGTGGGGAATAGTGCTGATGGGAGGTGGATGGACATAGGCAGATGCCTTTGGGTATGACATTAGACACTGGTCACTGGTGGGAGCCTTGGGTCTCAGTCATAGGATCTGGTGATTGAGAGTAGAGGAATACATAATGACCACAAGCAGTTTGTTGCAGTTATGGGAAATTCCACTACCTCAGGGATTTCACCTTAGATAGAAGTAATCCCTAAATTATACCAGATTCTCCCCAGATTGGCTCCATATCCAGAACTAGTCCCTCAGAAGATAGTTGGGTATCTAGTTGTACATCAAACAGTCTGTATCTTGAAAATTTTTGCCAGGTCCAGAAAGGGAGAAACAGTGGCCTGGTGACCATAAAGTTCTGGGTCTGTTGGGTCTCCTTTGACATGGGCACTGTCTCTACTCCATTCTTCTAGTGGTCAGCTTTCATTCCATAAGAAGAAGACTCTGTCTTTTCACTGAATGCCTTGGGAATTCCATCTGGCTTTCTATGTCCATATCCTGCCTTTTCAGGGCTCTTTGGCCACCTCCATCCAGGAGTCATTTTCAGGACTCCTTGGGTCCCATGCTTTTCTTCTTGGAACCCGAAGGCTAATTCAAAGATAAGGGCATAGGGGCAGCTAGGTGGCAGAGTGGACAGAGCACTGGCCCTGAAGTCAGGAGTGCCTGAGTTCAAATCCAGCCTCAGACCAAATACTTGACACTTACTAGCTGTGTGACCCTGGGCAAGTCACTTAACCCCAATTGCCTAGAAACAAAAACCAGAAAACAAAAAACAAAAACAAAGGTAAAGGCAGTGTTCAGGTGCTACCTAGCAGGAAAATGAGGCTGGAAAAGGTCTTGACTATACCTTCAGGGAATGATCCCTTGGGATCCCAGTCCTGACAACCACAGATGGGCATGGGCCTTACTCTTCATAATATATATTAGTAGGACTGGCAGAGAGCTCTAATCTAAGTCCCCAAAGACCCTAAGTCTGGGCTTATAAGACTGGGAATCCCCACCAGTCCTTTTGGGGGTCACAGGGGATTAAAAATGTTCTAACTCTATTCATCTAGGTCCATCCCTGATACCTACAACATAAAATGTCAGAGCTGGAAGGAATCTTGTGATGTGGAATGTTAGATTATAGACTGCAGAGTTAAAAGAGACACTTGAACATGGGTATCAGAAACACAGAATCATAGATTTTAGGGTGAGAAGGGGCTTCAGAGACCATGTCCAGTTCATACCGGAAATAGGATCCCCCCTGCAGCACACCTGATAAGTGGTTATTCAGCCCCTGTTGAAAGAGCCTCAGGAAAGGAGAAACCATTTTCCCCAAAGCAATCCATTTCCCCTTTGGACAATTCCAGTTGTTAGAAAGTTCTGTTACTGACAGCAAGAATAAATTTGAGGGGCAGCTAGGTAGTACAGAGAATAGAGTGCTGGCCCTGGTGTTAGGCGCACCTGAGTTCAAATCCGCCCTCAAATACTTACTAGCTGTGTTACCCTGGGTAAGTCACTTAACCTGATTGCTCCACCCCGCTAAAATAAAGAATAAATTTGCCTCTCACAGCTTCTATCCGTGGTTTCTGGTTCTTCTCTTTGGAGCCAAATTGGACTAATTTAATCTCTCTTCCATAGAACAGATCTTCAGAGACTTGAAAACAATTGTAATTCTATTCCTTCCCCTCCCCCAGCCCCTCCAAGTTGATTTTTCTCTTTTACTTCACTTACTAGTTACTCTCTTACTTTTTCTCTTACTTCAGGCCATGCTCATATGAGAAAGACTCAAGACTTTTCAACATGTAAATTACCATTTCTAGGGTAATTAAGCTTTCTAGCTTACCAATGCCCTTTCTAAATTAGATGGGCTCTCACCAGGGGAGAGTAAAGCAGGGCTATCACCCCATTATTCCTGCAAACTCTGCCTTTCTTAAGATCACTTTGGCTTCTTGCATTGTTATGCCATACTATTGACTCATATTGAGCCTTCAGTCCATTAAAACCCCTGTCTTTTTCAGAGAGGCTGCTATTTTAACATTCCTGGCTTATTTTGTACTTGTGAAGTCAGTTTTTTTGGACCCAGGTTTAAGACTTGACATTTGTCAAGATTAAGTTTAATCTTCTTAGATTTAGCCCTATGTTTTAGTTTGTCAAAAAAACCTCTTTCAATCCTAGTATGTTACTTATTCCTTTAAATTTCATGTCATTTGAAAATTTATTAAACTTGACTTTTTAAAAATTAATTTCATTTATAATCAATGAAAGTCCATTTCCTGTCCCTTCTCCATCTCCCTCCCATTCTCCCCACTGAGAAAGAAAGGAGAAAAAATGCCGCTACAAACATGTATAGCCAACAAAACAAATTCTCATGTTGGCCTTGTCCAAATGTATATGTATATATATGTATATATATATATGTATATATGTATGGGGTATGTGTGTGTATGTGTGTGTGTGTGTATGTGTGTGTGTGTGTGTGTGTGTGTGTGTATCACAACTACAATCTGAATCCATTACTTCCCTATCAGGAGGTGAGTAGCATGTTTCATCAAGAGTCCTCTGGAATTGTGGTTGGTTATTGGGTTCATCAGAGTTCCTGAGCCTTTCAGAGTTGTTTGTCTTAACTATTATTGTTATTGTATCAATTATTCTCCTGGTTCTGCTTACTTCACTTTGCATCAGTTCATACAAGTCTTCCCAGATTTCTCTGAAATCATCCTTTTCATCATTTCCTCTAGCATAATAATACTCCATCACATCGATATACCAGAACTTGCTAATCCATTCCCCATTTGATGTGCTTGTCAAGTTTTTGTCATCCCCTTAGTATCTAATTCTTTACCACTACAAAAAGAGCTTCAGCTTTACTTTTATGTCTTTATCCATGTCATCAATAAAAATGATAAGCATCATAGGGCCAAGCATAGATCCTGGAGCCATTCCACTGGAAACCTCTTGCCAAGCTGACATTCATGACTCAGTCCAACTATTCAACCAATTCCAAATCCATTTCCCTGGACCACTGTGTAGCCTACGTCTCTCCATATTTTCCACAAGAATAGCATGAAATACCTAATCAAATGCCTTTTTAGAACCCAAGTCAACCATATCAGCAGAAGTCTCCTGATCTATCACTTTAGGAAGCTTGTCCAAACAGGTTTTTGTTTTTTTTCGTTTTTAAGGTTAGTCTGGCATGACCTGTTCTTGATGAAGTCCTGGTGGATCTTTGTAATCAGTACTTTCTTTTCTAAATGTCACTAGCATTTCTTTAATAATCATTTCGAGAATTTTGCCAGGAATTGAAATCAACCTCACAGTCCTCTAGTTTGCAGACTTCATTCTTTTCCCTTTTTTGAAAATTGGTGCAAAATTTTCCCTTTTCCACTCCCTTGATAGTTCTTCACAGATGCCTCTCCACAGTTGCTCAAATGTCATTCACTGTGGCTTCAGCCACTATGTCTGCCATTTTTCTCAATACACTTGTGTTCATCTGGGCTTGAATCCATTTAGGGTAGCTCACTGCTCTATTTCTATCTTCTTATTTATATGGGCTTTCAACTCCCTCTTAACCAATTTTTTCCTATATCCTTTACCTTTTTCTTTGGCAGAGAAAATCAAAGCAAAATGAGAACTGAGCAGCATAGCTTTGTCTCTATTGTCTGTTGTCTTCATCCAATTTACCCCAAGCAGCCATCCTATTCCTTTTGCTGTTGCTCTTCACGCTGAAGCTGTCAGAAACCTTAGAACCCAGAACCCAGTGTATCAGACTGAGAGAGACCTTAGGGGCCTGAGTCTGACTTTACCTTTCATTTATACTGTATATATCATTGTTGTTTGATTGTCACCACCCCAACCACAGCCCCATTAGAATATAAGTTCCTTGAGAGAAAGACTATATTTTTGCCTTTCTTTGTATGCCTAGAACTTAGTACCTGGCATATAGGAAAGTGTTTTTTTTTTGGGGGGGAAGGGGTTGGGCAATTGAGGTCAAGTGACTTACCCAGTGTCACATAGCTAGAAATTGTCGAGTGTCTGAGGTCAGATTTGAACTCGGGTCCTCCCGACTCCAAGGCCAGAGCTTTATCCACTGTGCCACCTAGCTGCCCTCAGGAAAGTGTTTAATAAATGCTTGTTGATGGACTGACTGACTGGATGACCATTGTGCTGCCCAAAAGTTCTCAATATTTTTGTGTGTCAGAGACCCCTTCTTAGAATGATGTTTTGAAATGCAGTAGAACAAAATTCATAGGCTTATACAGGAAAACAATTATTTTGAATAGTTATCAACATATTTTTAAAAACAAGTTCATAGACCCCATATTAAGAATTCTTAGTAGTCTGACCCTTTAACAGTTGGGCTCAGAGTTAAGGCCCAGAGATGAGAAGTGACATTACCAAGGTCCTACAGTGAATCAATGGCAGAACTGGATCAGAATCCAGGTCTCCTTACTCCCAGCTTTCCATAGCTAGTCCACTGGGCTGCCTTAGCTCATTTATAACCTTCCTTTCTATCGAAATCCTTTTGTAGGATTAAGAGGAACCAAAATATTGGACAGTTTCTTTCCTTGTGAAATAGAGGTGGCAGGGTGCAAAAGAAGGGGTGGTGGTACATGATGAAGCATACTACTTACCTCCTGATATAAAGGGTAAAAGTCGAGAGATCTAGTTTTTGGATATGGCCAATGTAGAAGTTTATTTGCTTGATGGTGCATATGTGTCATAAAAGTCTTTTTCTTTCTTTCTTTCTTTCTTTCTTTCTTTCTTTCTTTCTTTCTTTCTTTCTTTCTTTCTTTCCTTCTTTCCTTCCTTCCTTCTTTCTTTTCTCTCTCTCTCTCTCTCTCTTCTCTCTCTCTCTTTCTCTCTCTCTCTCTCTCTCTCTCTCTCTCTTCCTTCCTTCCTTCCTTCCTTCCTTCCTCTTTTTCTCTCTTTCCTCTCTCTCTTTCATTCCTTCCTTATTTTCTTCCTTCCTTCCTTGTCAATGAGAGGGAAGCCAGAGGTAGAGAAAATAGATTTTTATTAATTGAAAAAATTAAATTACAAAAAAGAAGAAGGTTAAACTAGATGATCTCTAAGATCCCTTCCATCTCTGATTATCCAATTAATTAGCATAGACCATTAGCTCTGATTTAACAAGAAAATCTAAGACCTTTCACACAGGACCAGGCTTCTGCTGTTTCTCTTATCAAAGCAAAGCCAAGTGCTTTGAAGAAAGGAATCAGAGAGATCCCAGATGCAAAAACCTCCTTTGGGAGTTCATGCCTGAAATACTACATTGTCCCACGTGTTTTTTTATCCCTAAGACCAACTTCTGGATCTCCTCTTATGGGAGGAGTTTGTAAGCAGAGCTGAGCTCTAAGCTGGCAACGACTTCAGAACTTGGGTTGAGTGGGTTCATGGAAAGACTCAAGGCTTGCTTCTGTTTAGGCTGGGGCTTATGAAGGACTGGGGATCCAACCTTCCTCCTGGTTATTCTGCTCCTCCCACATTTCTGAAGAGTTGAAATCATCCCAAAACATGCCTTCTGCCTTACCCTTCCCTTCTTTCAGCCCTGCCTTCTCTTTCTTTCTTTTATTCCTCCCTACCCCACCCCCCATCTGTATTTCCAGTGCAGTACCTTCAGGATGGGTTATTGTCAAGAGTATGTTAACATGAAAGATGTCACAGGGAGCACCGTGCAATCCCCTCATTTTATCAGTGGGGAGAGTAAGGCCCAAAGAAAAGAAATTATACATCCAAGGTCACATAGTAGAGTGACTTTGGAATCAGAGGACCTAGGTTCAAAGTCTACCTTGGATATGTATTACCTGTGTGAGCTGGGTCAAATTACTTAATCTCCCTGGGTCTCATTTTCCTCATCTATCAAGAGAAGGGGAGGGGAGTTGGACTAGATGGCCCCTGGGGTTCTTCTTAGTTCTAGAACATGATCCTGTGACCTAGGACAGAACATGATTTGAGTGGGAGAGGAGATCCATTCAGTTTCTCATATTATACCTCTCATCTTGCATTCCTCACTCTTCCCTTTCCATCTCCCTCATATTTGGACCAATATGGGTAGCAACTTGGGTAGCTTTGCCAAGAATTAGGTATAATACTTATAGTGACTAACATTTCTTTAGAAAAAATGTACTGATATCTTTTGTTTTTACATCCTCTTCGTGTCTGAATATCTCCCTTTGCTCTGAGGGCCATCTCTTGAAATGAAGAAGAAAAAAAAAGAAAAGAAAGAAAGAAAATAATTCAGCAAAACTACCCCAAATGTCAGCTCAGTTGTACAGTATAGGCAATGTTCCTTTCAAACCCATAGTCCCCCCCTTCTGCTCCAAAGGGAATTGCTGTACTTTCTCATCTCTTCTTTGGAAATAAGCTTGGTCATTATAGCATTATAGCATTATAGCATTCAGCATTCAGGGTTTGTTTGTTTGTTGGGGCTTTTTCCATCTGAATCAAACAACTCATGTGTCTATGGTACCTTATTCAGGATTTACAGAGAGTACAAGTTTTATTGGTGTGGAGACAAAGACTTGAGCATCATCTCACCTCGTGGGGGTCAGTGCTGGGATTCAAACTCAGGTCCTCATAGGATTATAAATTTAGATCTGGAATGGCTCTTAGAGGCTACTGAGTACAACTCTTTCATTTTACAGATGAGGAAACTGAGGCAGAGGTTAAGTGAATTTTTCAGGGCCACACAACAAATAAGTGTCTGAGGTATGATTTTAACCTAGGTCCTCCTGGCTCTACATCAAGTTTTTAATCCTCCTACCTCTTTGGACACTCTTTCCATGATACCATGCTGCCTGTCATGAGTAGAAAAAACTCATGAGTTTCTCAGGGTCAAACCACTCATGATTTTTTAATCTACTCCCTTTTCAAGGATGTGGGTGAGTTGAGGCTCTAAGAAAAACCTTTCTCAGCCTAGAGCTTCCGTCTTTTCCCAGATGACTCTGGTTAGTCACGGGTCCAGTTAATTGTGAGTGCGAGCATGTTGTGGTGTGCCGGCTGTGTGGTAGTGCCTTCCAAGGCTTAGCTCTGACAGCCAGTCATGATTCCTCCACCTCTGGCTGCTTCACCTTTCCCTCTTGGATCTGCTTGGGTCTTTGGCCTTTGGGGACCCCTGATCAGAGATAATCACAATAACTCACTTTAGGCAGCCATCAGGATTTCATAAAACCTCTTCCTCATCGTGACCCCATGAGCACTGTTACCATTTTACAGCGAAAGTTCCCGGAACTTAGGTGACTTTCCCTAGTTCAACACAGCTGGTAATTAACCAACAAATATTCTTTGAAGCATCTACTATGTGCTAAGCACTGGACTAGGCACTAGGGATATCAAGACAAAGAATGAAATAATCCCTCATCTAGTAATGGTCTGAGCCAAGACCCAAACTCAGATCTTCTGGCTCCAGGATCTCTTTTCACTCCTGGTCCATGCACAGAATATAACTTTGATGATGCCTATTTGGGGCTACTTAAGGCTTCTTTACACTTGTCTTTCTTTCTTTGGTTCTTATGTTTCAGGGATTACCTGGGCCAGTAGGAGAACCTGGACCCAAAGGAAGTCGGGTAAGTGCATCTTGGCAGCATCCTGTGATTCTCTGATGATCAGATGGCAGAGGTGTGTGCTTGCTACTTAGGACTCAAAGCAGGTTCTACAAATGGACGTTGTGCTTATCCTTCCCACTCAGCAGGGTACCAAGAATGCCCGTTTGACTCCAGTTTCTGGGATCCTCAAGTACCTTAGCTCTTACGTGTCTCACCTGGTGTTAGACAGCAGCACACACACCCCCACAGTCCCAGGGCAAAGAGATTGTAGGAGAGTGGGATGGAAGAAGGGTGGGACATGGATTGAGCTGTGGCTTTCCAGAAAGCCTCTCACTTAAGCCAAGTGCAGTGAGCCGGGGAGATCCATGGCTACTCCTGATGGCCCCATCTGTGGCACAGAGCAAATCCAGCTGACGCCAGGGTGCTGGAGCCGGTTGCAAGTGATCTTACCGCCCCTTGGTCTTCCCTCTGCCCCTTTCTCCAGCCCCACTCCCCGATTCCCTCCCCTGCTGGGGTAAGCAAGCGGAACAGCCAGCATGACTCATACGAACAGGGTGTTGCGGCAGTTCTAATTGCCTGTAATTGGTGGCTACGGCATCCCCTAGCTCCTGGTGAAAGTCCACAGCCTGGCAGAAGTACTCAGGGCACTAGGAGTTGCCTATGAGGTATCTGTTCAGACAGTGGCTAGAGGCCAGGTATGGTAGGCAAAGGTCCATCCATTTTCTTCTTTTCTTTAAGGGGTCCCTTTGTAAGCTACTTCCATTCTAGAGGAGAGAGTCAGCTCATGGGAAGCCATAGCTATCCATGCAAAGCAAAGCACTAAGTGGGTGAAAGAATGAAGCAGTAGGAGCAGGGAATGTGATTCCACCAGTGGCTACAGTGAGGGCCAGTACTCCCTCCCTGCCTCACTCTTAGAACCACATGTGTGCCTGCCATCAGCTCCTCTTGTCTCTTGCTCTCTGGCCCTGGCAGCTCCTTCTATAAACTATGCCCCACCACACTGGATCCTTCACATGTAGTCTTATGTAGCACCAGACCCAGATTCTGATGGTGACTCCACTCCTCACTTGCCACTGACGTGACCTCTGTGCTTCTTTGTTCATCTGTAAAATGGGATTTTTATCCCTAACCTGTCTATCTCCCAGGGTTGCCTCTAGAATCCCATGAAAAAATAGATGCCAAATCACACTACACACTGGATGGGGTTATGCCAATATAAAGGGTGATTGTTATCATTAGGAACTGGGGTGAGAGAAGGCATTCTTGGGAAGAGGTAAAAAGTGAGGGCTCTTGCTAGGAGTTCTAGAGCCCAATTGGAAGGTCTCATGGGGCCTCCCACGAGAGGCTGTAGACAGCCCTGTTTCTGCCTCATTGGCTCTGTCTGTCAGTGGCTACTGAACCCTTGTCTGGGGTTGGCCTTGTAATTAAGCTCTTAAACATTTTCCATATGCTCACCCTGGCTGCTCTTGCCCACCACATAAGGGTGGGGATGTGCCTGGCAGCATCGGGCACTTAGTCATCTGTGCCCCCAAAGAGCAAAGTCAGCTTGTTCTTGACGAGCCCTTCCCCCAAAGCAAAGGCCTCAAAGCCGTGCCATTATGACAGATGAGAATTTACCCTCCAAAGCAGCTTTCACTCACCCCAAGGATGAGAGGGTAAGAATAGTCCCACATTGGGTCCCCTAGACCAGCCTTGAAGTGCGTGCATGGTATTTATTGGCAGAGTTGGATAGACTTATTGGATGGGTATCAGCTGTTTGGGATGTTTTACCAGGCTGTTACTATATTTGCATTTGAGGGCAGTCTGCCCTAGTCGGCTCGTGAGGCTTGCTTACTGGAGGAGACTGGGAAGCAGACCTCTCAATCGTATCCTTCCCGGGGCATTGATCCTGCTGCAGTTCTTCAGTCCCAGAAGAGAAATTCTTTTCTGTCCAAACCCTAAGAAGACATGTCCTTGGGATGGCTCTGAGGGGCGATGATAAATAAGCCAGGGAAATTTGGGATTGATTTATGCTCTTCGTGTGGACAACATCTTGATGCCACATGCACATTGCAAAGTGAACCTCTGCTCCCTTCTCCCTGGGCTTTGCTGAGATGGTTCTCATGACGGAGCTCTGGGCTCCTTCCAGCAGTGGCTTGAAGCCCAGAGGGATGACCCCTGTGATACACTGCTGATTGTAGCCACCAGTCATAAAAAGCCCTGCTCTCCCTGTTCCTTCCCTTCTGTGGTTCAGGAATGTGACTAGGCAGCTCCCATCTTACTAATGCTCAGCATGCATCCATCTTAGTCCTTCATGGCTTTGCCTGCCCCGGGGATCACTGCTGGGGTGATTAGGAAAGGGGCCTAGGTGCTGAGGAATCTCTCCAAAGTCATGTGACTCACTCCAGAGCCCATTGGCTAGGTGGCCTAGGAATAGAGTGCCGAGGGAATTTGCCAAATAGCTAGGACATTGCTCTCCTTTTGTGACAAGGTGAATTCGCAGGGTAGACCAGGGCATGGGGAAAGTTTTGCTTGTCTGAGGACACTTCCTGAGTCTTAGAGCTGGACTTTAGTCCAGAGTCTTTCCTGATAGAGAAGGGGTTAGTCCTGATTCTCTTTGCCTAATACCTGTGAGATGTGACACATCTCAGCTGACCCTAGGTGAAAGATGACCCCCGAGTCTATACTTGTTCCTAGAAGGAAGGAACCTCATTGAGCTTCAGGGTCCTGATGCAGCTTGCCTTCCATTCCCGCTCTGGTCTTATATGCCTAGAGCCTAGCGTCGTACCTGACGTGAAGTAGGCACTCACAGGTGCTTGTTGAACACACGTATGTTACAAGTATAACAGCTCAGAGAGGGGGCAGCCTGAGTGGAAAAAGAACCTGGATTCTCTGTGTGTGTGTGTGTGTGTGTGTGTGTGTGTGTGTGTGTGTGTGTGTGTGTGTGTGTGTGTGTGTGTGTGTGTGTTGGGGTGGGAGGTAGAGTGCACGTAGTTTCTGTAAGCATCTCTGGAGAAGGAAGGCCAAGGGACCTGGAAGAAGGTCTGAGGAGGGTGAAGAAGGCTTGTCAGAGCAGCACAAGATCACATGGGAGGTGTCTCAGGACTGTGAACAAATAGGGGTGGGGGGACATGGCTTGAGTGGGGACGACTTCATTTAAAAAACGCGGACTATACTTCTGCTGTGTGCAGAACCAAGGAGTATGCTCTGTGGGGGATACAGAGAGTCATTAGACATGATCCTTATCCTTCAGAAGCTTCCAGTCTAGTCAGAGTCCTGAGGCCCAAACAGCGTTGGAAGGGACCTTTGGGGCCATTTAGTCCATCCCATTCATTCTACAGACTATGAAACTGAGGCCCAGTAAAGTTCAGTGACTTGCCCAAGGTCATTCGGGTGGGAATTTCAACCCACATCCTCTGATTCCTACTCCAGTGTTCTTTCCACTGTGTCACACAATAATACTGCTATGACACTGAATAATCTGCAACAAGTCAAGGGATGTCACAAGGCACAGCAGGATTAAATCCCCAGTGAGTGGTACAGACAACGACTGGGAGTCTGTAGGAAGGAGAGTGGATTGGGGTAGGCAGGGGAAGCTTTCTACAAGAATTGGGACTTCAGTTGGGCCATGGAGGATGAGGAGGCACCTGGTAGGGCAAGAGGAGGTGGGGGGGGTATTCCAGACAAGCAGCACAGGAGGGATGTTTTTGGAGAGGGTAACTGGAGAAACTCAAAAATACTGAATTAATTGGGCCTGGAAGGTTATGGTTTGGGGGTGGGGTGGGGAATTGTATTGGAGGAGGGGAGGGGAAGGAGAAACCAGGAAGGTTGGAGAGAGAGGACATCCAGGAAACAGCCATAGGTCGAAAGTATCACAGTGGAAATTCTTAAGAGGAGGCAGGTCAAGGACAGGGAGAAGTAGCTATAGAAGTGGCCTTGAGATACCTCCGGCACATCCCCTCTCATCTAACCCCAAAGCAAGCTTCCTTTCCTTTAGGTCCCAGGAGCAGCCAGCAAGGGCGCTGGGCATGACAGCCTCCTGCCCCTTCCCACCCTGCCCCCACATGGAGAAGGAGCCTCCCCTACCTGCCCCCCGATCCCTGGTGTGAGGGTATGTGCCCTTGGACTACATCGTGGAAGCCAGCACCATGCAGTCCATGGGCATATACACTTGCCTCAAGGTTTATGTCAACGTGGAGCACCCAGGACCAACGCTGGAGGAGCAGGAGGAGGAGGAGGAGGAAGGCAGCCAAGATGGGATGGGGACAGGCCAGCCTCCTTGGGATGACCCATTTAATTTTTTGTTTGCTCTGTCCGTAGGGGTATATTGGTCTCCCAGGGCTCTTTGGCCTGCCAGGACTTGATGGAGAAAGGGTGAGTATCCTTCTGGACAAACTAATGTCCCATCCTAAGACCCTAAACACCCAGGGCACAGGTAACCTTGGGGCATAAGCAAAGCAGCTCACAACAGAGCTGGGGATGAAGAGGGAAAGAATGAGAGATGGGACTGGACCTCTACAATTTGTTCTTAAGAGTGGGCAGGTCAGTGGAGGCTGCTTTCCTCTTGGACCTGCTCCCTGCCAACTGGGACCAGAATCTGGGGAAACTGTCACAGTCATGGGAATGAACCAGAACAGTAGAATCCAGGAATATTAGAACTGGAAGTGACCTTAGGACATAGGCTATTAACAATAGTAATAATAGCTAGCATTTATATAGTGCCCACTGTGTACCAGGCACTATGCTAAGAACTTCATAAATATTCTCATTTGATCCTTACATCAACCCTGGGAGGTCGGTGCTATTATTATCCTCATTTTACAGTTGAGGAAACTGAGGCAGAGAGAAGTAAAGTGATTTTCCTGGGTTCATACAACTAGTTAAGTGCCTGAGGCTGTATTCGAACTCAGGTCCATCTTGACTCTAGGCTCGGTACATTACCCACTACATCACCTAGCTGTCTCTAACCACCTAATGTCTTTTAGGATATGTGTGTATGTATGCACATACATATATGTATATACACATATGTATGTGTGTATGTAGAAGGCCCAAGCAGAAAAGGGCCTCAGAATATAGACCATCAGAGCTGGAAAGGGATCTTTTAGACCAAGTTCAAGCCTTTTAATTTACATGATGAGAAACTGAGGCCCAAGGGATGAAGTGAATTGCCCAAATGACAAAGTCCACTGCTGGAATTGCTCTCTCCTATTAGTATTCTCCTACGCTACATCGCCGCTGTTTCCCAAACTAACCCCAAAAGGATTATTTCAGACCTGCCTTTGACGAGGACCAGACGCGGAGGGAGCTCACACCAGGCACAAGGTCTGCTGGGCACCATCCTAGCTCCCATTTGTATGGTCCCACAGAAACCTGGGCCCCAAAGGGAAAGTCAGAGCATCTTGGCAGGGTTCTCTGAGCTTCAGATGTCTCTCATTCTTTTTTAGTAATTCCTATACTGACATTAATTTTGCTTTTTTCTTTTTGTTTCCTTACAGGGGCCTCCTGGAGTTCATGGCAAGAGGGGCAAGATGGGTAGGCCGGTAAAGTTTTTCCTTGTCTATTATGCAGATTTTGTTGAATGAAACCAAACCATACCACAATCTAGTTGTTTTTGCCTGACTTGGCAAGGTAGAATTTGGGGGGATTTCCTATGATTCCTTTTGGAGAGTTTTGATTTCTGGTCTACTCTGGCCTTTCTCCCAGCCTTCCTGTATGTGTGTGTGTGTGTGGGGGGTGCAAATGGGGAAGGAGTATTGTCTCTGTGTAGGTGTATACATATGTGTCTCTCTTTTCCTAAGCCTGTGTTTTTTCTACCTGTCTAGATCTGTTTTTCCTGATATACAGTGTAATTCTACATGTGATTGCCTTTTTCTTGGTCATATTGCCCTGCACTGCCAGTCCTCTTCCCTGGAAAGGAGACAAAAGGCAAAGACTTGACTAGACATGTTCTAGTAGTAGGGTAATGACATTGGGTGCCATATCAGAAAGTACCTCTCACTAGCTCACTGAGCCAGGAGCTTAGTCCAAGCCAACAAGCATGAATCACCTGCTATGTGCAAGACACTGTGCTGGGTACCTAGGGATACAAAGACAAAAAATAAAAAGCAGTCTCTGCTCTTGAGTTTCTATTCTGTTGGGAAGGGGTGAAATCTGTAAGCAGAAAGTTAAGTACGAGATGAAGGATTAAGAAGACAAGGAGATCAGGAAAAGGTTTTTTATATAGGATGGTATCTGAGCTGAGCCCTGAAGGGAGCTAATCGATCATAAGTCAACATTTATTAAGTGTCTACTATGTAGCAAACACTGTGTTAAGTGCTGGGGATACCAAAAGAAGCAACAGACAATCCTTGCCCTCAAGGGGGTTACAATCCAATGGGAGGGGGGGCAACATGCAAATAAATATGTACAAAGTAAGCTATATATGGCATAAAGAGGAAATAATGAAAAGAGAGGAAGCAGCGGAATTAAGAGGGGTTAGAGAAGGCTTCCTGTAGAAAGCAGGATTTTAATGGGAACTTAAAGGAAACCAGTGAGGCCAGTAGTCAGAGCAGAAGAGGGACAGTGATCTGGGTGTGGGAGACAGCCAGAGAAAATGCCCAGAGTGAAGAGATGGAATGGTTTGGTTTTTTTTTTATGAAACAACCAGGAGCCCAGTGTGACTGGATTGAGGAGTATGTTGGGAATTAGGTGTAAGAAGACTGGAAACATAGGAGGATTGGTTAGGAGGGGCTTTGAATGCCGAACAAATATTTTGTATTTGCTCCTGGAGCAATAGTGGGCCACTGGAGGTACTTTTAAGAGGGGAAAGGGGGAGGAGAATTCATTACAGGCATGAAGGATGGTATGTGAAAAGACTTGTAGATAGGGAATGGAATGTAGAGTTCAGGGAACAGCAAATAGGCCAATTTGATTGGAACATAGGGTCTGTGAAGGAAAGTAAAATGAAAGGTCTGGCAAGGTTGACTGGAGCCAGATATGAAGGGCTTTAAATGCCACCTTAAGGAGTCTATATTTTGTCTTAGATGCAACAGAGAACCAGTGGATCTTCTGCCATAGTCTGGTAGAAGGAGAAGCTAATTTGCTTCTTCTTAATTTGGTTCTGTAAGCTTGGGCAGCTGGATAGAGTGAGAAGGCTGGGGGTTTTTCTGCTGTAGGAAACAGCAGGGATTGGACATTCATAGTACTGCTTTTGGTGATGGCAATGGAAATAGGTGCTTCGCAAAATTAATTAATATAATTGAGTTGGGAGGAGCTTACAAGATCATCTAGCAATCTCATTTTCCAGATGGGAAAACTAAGGCTCAGAGAAAGGAAGTGACTTGCTCAAGAACACATAAGGATTTAATGAGAAAGCTGGGGTCAGAACCCAGATCTGATCTTCAAGTACAAAGAGATATGGGGTGTGGTCCTTGACTTCAAAGAATTTACTTAAAATCTAGGCATTCAGTAGCCCTGTGAATTCATTTCTTCTCAGTGATGATTTGAAAGGGAATATTAGTACTTATGGAAGCTCCTCCTCTCTCACTGGAGAACCTCTTCTTGCTGTCTCTGTGCTTGTATGTTCTCAGGCCAGTGACTTCCCTCCTCAGGGTCTCAGTTTCTTCATCAGTGAAATGGATTAGATGATCTTTGAGTTCGCTATCAGCTCTGACATTCTACGAATCATTAACCAGATTTCAGTAAACAAGGCAGCCTCCGCTAGATGTATTGTCTCTGCTTGGAGTTTCTTAGCAAGTTCTGAGGGATGTATTCTCGTACTCAGGATACGGCCTTCTCAATACATTCCAGCTGTTCCCCTCTTTTTCTTATCACTGTCTGGGATATTTTTTCCCAGCCGTAATTTATATTTGCTGCTGGAATCTCTCCCTGGAATGCGAAAACAGTCAGAGCCTCATCCATCCTTCCTTTCCCCTACCTTTAACCCCCCTCCCCCCCAGAAGCAGGAACATTCCAGACTGGTGGTCCTCTGGGATTGGATGGCCAACTATTCTGTCTAGTCCCCCTCCCATGTAAAGAGCTCTGACTCTGCCATTGTTATAGATTCCGAGATACAGGGCTTTAAAATGTTGGACAAGGGAGAGAAGAAAGTTCATCTAAAATCACAGAACACAGGTTTTGTCCATTTCCTCCACAACCCCAGATGGGTTATTTTGCATACTCTTTGAGAAATTTTTACCCCACTTTGAAAACCACTGAGCTAGAAGGCTGTTAAGTCAGCCAGCCAACAAATATTGATCAGATACCTATTATGTGTTAGGCACTGAGCTAAGCACTGGAGATACAAAGAAAGACAAAAAGGCTGTCTCTGCTCTCAAGGACTTCCCAGTCTAATGGGAGAGACAACACGCAAGAAACATGTACAAAGAAGCTGTGTACAGAATAAATTGGAAATAATCAATGAGGGAAGTCAATTGATTAATTAATTAATAAACTTTTATTTAAAAAAGATACAGATCTCCATATCTTTCTATATCTATAGGATTCTATGACTTTCCTGGTTGTCTGGTTCCCTCAACTCCATCCCAGCCCATAAATTTGCATTTAATAAACACTTATAAAGTGTCTACCCAATGTTTTATACTGTGCTAAGAGCTAGATTTGGATTCTGTTTGATAAAGGGAGGGCTCTTGGGAAGGCCTCAGCCCCATGGGTAGGGGAAAGGAAAAGTGGGACTGCAGAGAGAGCCTGGGACTGAGAGGCAAGAGATAGGAGCAGTAGCCCTAGCTGTGCAGCTCACTCATTGTGTGACATCAGGCAAGTCCCTCAATTGAGCTGGATTTCAGTTTCTTCATCTGTAAAATGAAAGAATTGTTCCAGCTGACGTCCAAGGTCTCTTTCAGTTCTGAGATTCACCGAGTCTGTGACTCTGGGAGAGATTGATTGCTGTTGGCAGGGCTCTGCTGCTCTCCCCCTTCCCCAGCACTGACCACAGCTCTGCTGCAGGCAGAGAACAAGGCTCTGGCCTCCAGATACTGGAATGGACCTGCATTTTCCACATTGACCACAGTTATGCCTGCCTGACTTCCATGGAAGTGCTGACATTGGGATTCCGGGGAATTGGGAAGAAGGGAAACTTTTTCCGTAGGATATTGTATGGAGAGGGGAAATTCCTCTTTCTGGATGAAAGGCAGTAGTTTCTCAACTCCAAGGATGGTCAGTTCTATTGGCTTTTCCCTTCCATCCCTTAGTCCATTCTAGTCTCCTACTCAGAACCAAACTAAAGTCTCTTCTTTCCCCTTAAAATGGGAGGAAATCTCCAAGTCTGACTCCAAGTGAGACTGGAAGAAGCCATGCTATTGATGATAATTAGAATAGCGCCTTAAACATAGTATGCAGTAGGGAGATGTTTATTGCTGTGAATGGCTGCCAGGTGTAGTGGGGAGAGCATTATTAGATTGTGGGCCCAGAGAACAGGGATCTAGTACTAGCCCTTTAACCTGCTTTGGGACCTTGGGCAAAATGTTTGTTGGAATCACTTTCTTATCTATGGGATGGGAGGATTGGACTAGGTGTTCTTGCAATATGCTGCCAGCTCTGTTGAGACCCCTTTCAGCTCTGATATCCCATGTCCTAATACATTAAGGCTCTTTCTATCTCAGATTCTGGGAGAGGCAGAGTGGTGGAGTAGAGAGAGGATTAGACTTGGAATCAGAGGACCTGGGTTCACATGCTTCCACTGATATTTTGTGACCTTGGACAAGTCACCTTTCTGTGTCCTAGGTTCCTCATCTATGAAATGAAGGACTGGACTCAGTGGCCTCTAAGGTCTCCTCTTTCTCTGAATTTATAATCCTACGATCCTGTGATGATAATTTGTTTGCAGTAAGAGTCAAAGGAAATGAAGCAAGCTTCTTTTGGTGGTGTGGAGGGAATGGGATGGGATTAAATTTGGAGCATTCTAGACTGGAGTACCTGGACAGATGAGCTGTCTTTCTAGCACCATTCAGTGCTTCATCTCTTTGTGTCTCTGGGCCTCTTTTTTTAAATTCATGGAGAGCTTCAACTGGCCCTACAAGAGTTTAAGTAACCAGCCAGATAATTCTGGCTGATAAGACTTTGTGAATGAGCAAGAGGGTTTGGGGACTGAAACAGTCCATCTGGGTGTCCTTGGCACAGAGCTAACCAGAAAGTCAGTGTGAGCCCAGCCCTACTCTTGCCTTCGAAGCAATTGGATAGCTGTCAGGTGTACAGGGTCCAGCGATTGTGTTTGGGGGGGGGTAATTCAAACTGGCTGCAGAAAGATAGCCACCCACTCACCCCACCATTAGTATCCCTGTGATGTATCTGGCATGGGGATCCCTCTTATCTAAAGTGCCTAGGGCCATGAATCACCATTGAGGATTGTGAAAATAAACTTTATTGTTCCCTAGAAAATCAGCTTTAATAGCCAGCAAATCTATTTTGTCTGTCTCTGACATGATTTAATGTTTTTCATATGATTTCATATCTGTAGGTTCCAAAAGAAGTGATCAGAATGGCCCCTGGTATGACTTTGCCAGGCTTTTTATATGCTCTGTGAAATTCATGTCCTTCAGAATTC